AAAGACTATTGTACGGAGGATTGAGAGCCAACGAAAAATTATCCAGAAGGTGGAACAGTGATATGAGTGCCTTCCATGAAAAATGTGATATAGACCTGTGCTAAATGTCTTCAGGTTAATTTAACACTCAACAGACCTCAAAATTGATGTATGTGAATTCATTCTTGGTGTATAGGCACTGCATTACATCATTTATGTCTACATTCAAAGAAAACAAGATTTATTTGAGATGGTCTTGGGCAGTGAAAAACACTACACAGCCAAAGAAGTACCTTTGTGATAGGGAATGAGTACCCAGCTATAAACTACATGTTGTTTTAACTTGATATTTCCAAAACAAAAAGACAGAAGTCAGGACATCATGCAACATTTTATTGTATGAGTATGTTCATTGATCTATTCTTGACCTGCAACCACCTATTTCTCACCAAAGCCGTAGAGTTATGCGGCTTGGAAACAGATCGTTCGGTACAACTCGTCCAGGCCGACCAGATACGCCAAACTAACTAGTCCCATTTGTCAGCATTTGGCCCATATCCTCTAAACCCTTGCTATTCATGTACCCATCCAGATGCCTTTTAAATGTTGCAATTGTACCAGCCTCCACCACTTCCTCTGGCAGCTCATTCCATACACACGCCACCCTCTGCATGAAAATGTTGCCCCTTAGGTTCCTTTTAAATCTTTCCCCTCTCACCTTAAACTTATGCCCTCCAGTTATGGACTTCCTACTGTGAGAAAACAGACATTGGCTATTTACCCTATCCATAATTTTATAAACCTCTATAAGGTCACCCTTCAGCCTCCGACGCTCCAAGGAAAATAGCCCCAGTCTGTTCAGCCTCCCTCTTTAGCTCAAATCTTTCAACCCTGACAACATCCTTGTAAATTTTTTCTGCACCTTTTCAGGTTTAACAACATCTTTCATTTAGCAGGGAGACCAGAATCAAATGCAGTATTCCAAAAGTGGCCTAACCAATGTCCTGTACAGCCGCAACATGACCTCCCAACTCCTATACACAATGCACTAACCAATAAAGGCAAGCATACCAAATGCCTTCTTCATTATCTTGTCTAACTGTGACTGCACCTTCAAGACTACCCCTCAGTGAGAAATGTGAAATGCACATAAGTTTCTATGTAATTCAGCACTCTCTGAACCCCACCTGTTATGATCCTAGCTGATGGTAATACTGGACAAGTCAGATGCCAAAGATCCTTGGCTCAATCATACAAAAGTTTTATTTTTGCTCTTTGTTTCTTGCAGTGATCAATCACTGAACATTTTCTTAAGAGGCTGCCAGTGTCTCCTTCACTAAAGAACATCAAAGTTTATCTCACAAAAGGAAAAACCATGAACTGTACAATAATTAGTTGAAACAGTGAAAAAGATTCAATCCTTTTGCCCTCAACAACAACTACACAGATATTCAGACTCAGTGAAGGGTTACCCTGTTTCCACTTTAAATTTCCTTGCTCAGTGAGCGCAACTGCAATTGACATCTTTTCAACAAATTCCTGCATTAATTCAGTGGGTTTTTTTAAGTAATGTCCTTCTCTGAGAGCCTGAAACAAGCTGTTCACACAGCCCACTTCTTTCTTAACATGGATATGGAAGAGGAATTTAAGGAACCCTTCTGGTTGTGAAGCATTTCTCTTACAGACGTCAGGTTACCCAGGACTTTTTTTCTTCCACCGAGACTATTTGAAGACTGCTAAACTGCGCTGCTGCTCTTACAGCTCTCTGAATGAGCTGCTTTTTGTCTGAAAGAAATCAATAAATTGACTGACCTTCTGGACAATTCTATCTTTCTAAAATAACCTGTTTCTGTCTCTGTCTATATCGTATCCCTCCATCATAAGGTATCTTGTTGCGAAGCTACAGCCTACTTTTTTCTCTGTCTAACCTTGTTTCTAAGGCACTGAACTATTCACCTTTTCAAAGCCTCATTTAAATGAATATGAACAAATTACCAGATAACCCAGTACCACCCTCAAAACTCAAAAATGAAGCTGAAATTATGGGTGGAATGTTATAGGCTTCAGAGCGATGTGAACTATTTCAAAATTTGTGGCAGAATCAGAGAAGTAGCCCAGCGAGGACCATCTCGATGTCCGGAGAATCTCATTCCATCTTTCATGCTGTGGACAAGTGGCATTGCAGGATTCTTGCTTGAGAGTGGTGAGTTCCAACTAAGGGGAATTATTGCTGTTGCCGCCACAACTCGACTCATTAATATTCAACTTTCTGTCTGAAGAAATATGCCAAATAAGCTGCTGCTTATCAGTGAGCATTGGAATCCAGCATTTGCCAACCCCTCACCACCATGATGGCAGCTCTCCAGTACAATGGCAGGATGCTGCAGATGTACAGATTTGCACCAGCAACTAGGGTCAGAAGGCAGCTGCAAGGACACTTGGTGTGCAAGGTCAAGCACCCAGTTGAAGGATTGGACCAAACTGCATCTCAGGGCTGTTAGCTCGCTGCCTTAGTGCTCGCTCACTTAGCTCCTACCTGCATGCTCCCTACCTTTATGCCATGTCTTGCCAGTTAATACAGTCAGACAGCTTGCCTTGATGGTCAGCAAGCTTCAGTTCAGGGAGCAGACATGTTGCTGCAAGGCGATGTGCCACATCAATCTCATACTTGCCCCATGTGCCAACTGTTTAGGTGGCAAGCAAGATGCATGTGTAGCACACAAGACGCTATGTCTCAAAGTCTTTGGGGCGTGAGCTTTGTGAACTCCATGGAGGCACTGATCAGACGGCTAATGCATTTGGAGAGATGTTCATATTGTGTGCATCATTTTAATTTGAGCCTAATAATTTCTGAAAGATACAAACCTTCATTTTTTTGAAAAGGAGCAACTGTAATCTCATGGGTAGGATGCTCTTCGGGGGTTAGAGTAGACCCAATGGGCTGAATGGCCTCTTTGTGCACTGTAGGGATTCTATGATTCAATGATTTTACGAAAAGGTAGCAAGATTGGAAGGTTGCCAATATACCATCATGATTCCAGAAGTAAAGGAGAGAGAAATACCAGTTATCTTAACATCTGTGATTGGGATAATGCTGAATTTCTGTCAACGGAAGTCTTGTTGAAACACTTAGAAAATCACAGTGTGATCTGACAAGACAACTTAGTTTTACAAGAATGAAATCATGTTTAACAAATTTATCAGAGTCTTTTTTATCGAGTAAGTTTGATAAAAGGGAACTAGTTGATAAATTCCAAAAGGTATTTGATAAGGTGCCGCGCAGAATGTTAATAAAACAAGGGCTCGTGGAGTTGCAGGTGATATATAAGCATGGATAAAGCATCAGTTATCAGAGAGAAGGCGGTGAGTGAAAATGAATGCAGTATTTTCAAGTCAGCAAGCTGTAATTAGTGGAGTGTTACAAGGATCGATGCTTGCACCTCACCTATTTACAATCTGTATTAGTGTCTTAATCAAAGAGGTTAAGAATAAGATATCTGAGTTGATTGAAAATACAAAGTGAGGAAGATCAAAAAGAGATTGCAAAGAGATATAAACAGACTAAATGAGAGGGCAGTGAGATGCCAGATGGAAAAGTGTGAGGAAAACAGTTTTGTCTATAAAAATAGAAAAGCAGAATTTTTTTTTAAAAGGTGTCTAACTTGTAAATGTTGATATTCAGAGAGACATGGATGTACTCATACATGGGACATGAAAAGTTAGCTTGAACGTGCAGCAAGCGAACGAGAAGGTAAACGGGATGTTGGTCTTTATTGCAAGGAGGTTGGAGTACAAGAATAAAGAAAGCTTGCTACAATTGGACAGGGCTCTGAGACCACACCTGGAGAACCAAACCATGTGCACCTTTGAACTCCATATTTAATGTTGGCTACAATTGCACCGAAGGTGATATTTACTGACCTGGATCCTAAGATGAGAGCATTGTCTTGTGATATAAGAGGTTGAGTAAAGTGGGTCTGTATTCTTTGGGGTTTCATTGAGATTCTGAAGAGATTTGACAGCAAAGACAGCAAGAGGTTGTTTCCCCTGGGCTGGGGATCCCAGAATACTATGAGTCTCCAGGTAATCATGTCAGTCAGCAATGAGAGATTTATTTTCTCAAAGAGTTGTAATTACTCCCTGGCCCAGAAGTTTTTGGATGCTCCATCAGTGAAAATGTTTTAGGCTGAGTTAGATGGATGTTTGGTTTCTGAGGAAATCGTGAGATATAAGGGGAGGGTGGAGAAGTGGATTTGAAGCTCAGGATCAGTCATGATCGTATGGAATGGCAGAGCAGGTTTTGGTAAGAGTGCATTTGGCCACATCTTCTTCCTGTTTCCAGTGCTCTTAATGGGTCATTTTGACCTTGTCCTAACAGCTCGATCAGTGGCAGTTAATATCGGACAGTGTAAAATGGACAACTGAAGTGATCCTGTTGGTACCCTGTGCAGAGGGTAAATCACGTTTCATGAGGAAAGGTTTCAAGACTTTGACTGTTTGATTTTGGATGGTACATCAAAGGGAGGTGCAGGGGCAGAGTTGTTGGCCTCCTCCCTTCTAGTTTCCAAAGCGTGTTTACCCAACCAGTGGGTATAGGCAAAAGCAGCAGATACTTTCCAGCACCTTTTGCCTACGTCACTATGTTGTTGGTGCTTTGATCCACAGCAAGTGCAGCACCCAATCTGCATCTGTCCTTGAATGAGGATCATTTCCCCCCTTCCACCCCTCATGTCCTTCCAATAGGAGTCACTGCACTGAATCAGTAGTGGCATTTCTACCTGATTTTTACCCCTCCCTTAACCCAGGGTTGCAGATGCCAATTGCTGCGTCCCAAAAACACCCAAATTTCTCCTCATCCCCAACAATTTGCAGTGTCTTCCCCGCTAACAGACTCAATTCAAAACCAGTCACTCCCTGTTGCTTTCAGGCTGGGTCATTTACTGCTCGAGTTTACCGAACCACGGTAGAAGTAGCTTTCAACAGTATACGTGTTAACTAAATGCTTCTACTCTCTTTTACAGATCAGGTACCGAAGGGACATTGACACTGAGGCAGCTGCTCAGCGAGTAAGAACAATTGGAACTGACACGATGGCCAGGATCAGAGATCTTAAACCCCACACACGTTACTATGTGGAAGTCAGGGCCTACAACAAAGCAGGAGTTGGCCCTTCAAGTCAACAAATTGCAATCACAACAAGGAAAGCACGTATGTATCACTTCAGTGTTGTGAGATTTTAGCATCACCTCTAGTAAAGATGTGCCTGTTCGTTTTCCACAGCTTATCGTCTACTCTCCTGTTGTATCAGCTTGGTCGAATGAATGCATTCTCATTTGTGAGCCAGGAGGTTGGGTGTTCGAGATCTGCTCATCATTCCAGCTGACAGCACTATGAGAGTGCCGCAGTGTTAAGACTGCTGTAGGTTAAAGAGAACAGTGACTGTTGCAGCAAGGAGCCCTCCCAGAAAGAGAGCCAGTAATTTCAGTGGGAAAACTCTCCACATGTGACTCTGACCCCACAGCAATCTGCCCTCTGAAATGGCACTGGAGGAGGAGTGGATGATCTACCTCAGCATTTTCCAGTGGTCCTCAGCATTACATTCTTAGGCCAATTCGATTCAGTTCCATTTCATATGGGAATCGTGGGAAAGTTGCTCACTCGTTGGAGTCATACCTAGCACAAGAGGAAGATGGTTGTGGTTGTTGGAGGTCAGTTATCTCAGCTCCAGGACAACTCTGTGGGACTACCTCAGGGTAGTGTCCTAGGCTCAACCATCCTCAGTTGCTTCATCAATGACCTTCCCTCCACCATAAGGCCAGAAGTGGGAATGTTTGCTGATGATTGCACAATGTTCAGCACCATGCACGACTCCTCAGATATTGAAGCAGTCCATGTCCTAGTGCAGCAAGACCTGGACAATATCCAAGTTTAATTCAATAACATTTGTGCCAGGCAATGGCCATCCCAAACAGGAGAGAACCATCACCCCTTAACTTCCAATGCCGATACTATTACTGAAGACCCCACTACTAACTTCCTGGGGTTTACCATTGACTAGAAACTGAACTGGACTCACCACATAAATGCAGTGGCTGCAGGAGAGGTCAGAGGTTAGCAATACTGTGTGAGTAACTCACCTCCTGACTCCCCAAAGCCTGTCCACCATCTACAGGGCACAAGTCAGACATGTGTTGGAATACTCCCTACTTATCTGGGTGCGTACAGCTCCAACAACACTCAAAAAGCTTGACACCATCCAGGACAAAGTAATCCGTTTGGTTGGCACTACATCCACAAACATCCACTCGCTCAACCAATAATGCTCAGTAGCAGCATTATAAACCTACATTTTACTGTTAAAACCAAAACTGCAACATTGTATGCTTCCATTTTGGTAAAAAGACCACCTCGTTAAATATGATATAAAACAAAATATGGTCTGTCAAGCCAGATTTCAAGTCTGGAATCTGAGGTGTCCAGGGATCATATCAGCTTGGATCAAGCACTACGTTTTCTATTCCAGGAGGAAGGTTTATTTATGCACCCGCGTCTGGGAGCAACACATTTATACACGAGCTTTGAAGTTAGTTAGAGATTCTTCAGCTGCCATTGTCATTTCTTGCAGAATGTGGCAACCTGAAACCAATACAGAAACCACAGAGCAGTGCTAGTCTGGTAGTAACAACGAGAACAAAGAAACTTAGCAAGAAACCCATAGGCGTCCTTGAAATAGTGCCAATGGAGGATCCTTCCTGTAGCTGAATGTTTGATTGGCTGTATGAGGCTGAGAGAGGTCGCTGCCTGAGGTACTGAGCTCCGAAATGGCACCACTGCCTTCAATCCGCGTCGCACACTGAGTTCGAATCCCGCCATGGCAGATGGTGGAATTTGAATGTTGTGAAAAATATCTGGAATTAAGAGTCTAAGTGCCGATTGTCGGAAAATCCCACATGGTTCACTAATGTCCTTTAGGGAAGGAAACTGCCATCCTTACCTGGTCTGGCCTACATGTGACTCCAGACCCACTGCAATGTGGTTGACTCTTAACTGTCCTCTGGGCAATTAGGGATGGGCAATAAATGCTGCCTGGTCAGCGACGCCCTCATCCCGTGAATGAGTTTAAACAAACACAAATAAATGTCATGGTCTACTTGCTCTGTATGTACTGGCAAATGTTCACTCTGTGTTCTTACTGAACCAAAATGGCACCTGCACGCATGCACTTTTGCAGCCACCATTTTGGAATGTTAAGTGTAATTGTTATTGTAATTGTTTGGAATTCAGAAGATTGAGGGGGGATCTTATAGAAACATATAAAATTATGAAGGGAATAGATAAGATAGAAGTAGAGAGGATGTTTCCACTAGCAGGTGAAGCTAGGACAAGAGGGCATAGCCTCAAGATTAGAGGGAGCAGATTTAGGACTGAACTGAGAAGGAATTTCTTCACCCAGAGGGTTGTTAATCTGTGGAATTCCTTGCCCAGTGAAGTAGTTGACGCTACTTCAGTAAACGTTTCTAAAAAAAAGGTAGATTTTTTTTGAACAATAAAGGAATTAAGGGATACGGTGAGAACGCGGGTAAGTGGATCTGAGTCCACGAAAGGATCAGCCATGATCTTATTGAATGGCGGAGCAGGCTCGGAGGGCCAGACGGCCTACTCCTGCTCCTAGTTCTTGTGTTATGCCCAGCTAATGGGCGCAAGTTGAATTTTCTAAAAGTCTAATTCTGACGAGTCCAATTTTCACCCTCCACATTTCCAGTCCGTGTGTCTCCTGGTCGTTTATATTTGTTGCAGTGGATTAAACTTGACAGCGTACGTGTTGATGTTTCTTAAGACAGTAAAAATTTTCAAGTATTCCTGTTGCCAATCCATTGGCTTTAAAGTTGCGCGCAGCAGCCTGTTAAAGAGCTCTCAATTCAAATCGACAGATCTAATTGAGAATATCTTGGGGAAAATGTGCTCCTGCTGGTGGAAGTTGCTTGTCCTGTTCAAATACGACTTGCCCTTTATGCACCACTGACCTGAGTCTCATTGAATTATTTTCCAGCTCCCAGCATGCCTCCAAAAATAATTGACACCACAGTGCTCGGTACCTATTTCAGGATTTCCTGGGAAGCAGTCACACCTTTGGACAATGAGTCGAATGTGGAGGGCTACAAGGTACGTTATAAGTAAAAAGAAAAGAAAAGGTGTACAAAATGTGAATCAAACAGTGGAAACGCCACTATGCCCAACCCAGTGTTTAATTTTTGTTTCGATTGCCTTCCCAGATTCTCAATGAGGCAAAACATTGAGCGAAAGTTCGCCTCACTGGACTGTATGCTTTCATCGGTCTCCTTTGTTGGCCACAGTTCAGTTTCACAGCTAGACAGATTCTGAGCAGGACGTGTCACTTATAAAATACTTGCGGTCATCTCCAATCCACGCTTCGGCTATACCATCCCTTTGAAGATCAGGATCTGGGGAGCAACACAGGCATAAGTTTCAACTGTCCACTCATATACCCTTCTACTCTGGGTGATGATTGAGGCTCCTTTTGCACAAAAAGGAGTGGAAACGTTGTTAAATTTTATCACAAACCAAATGTTGAAGCAATCACTGCCCTGAAATATACGCTTCTCTGCACCCTTATTCCCATATCTCCTTTCCTGAAGTTACTGCCTGCTGCCAGGTTGAGCTCCTGGAGTTCCACGATCTCCTTCTGAGGATGGCTGAGGAACATGAAGGTGCTCCTAAATCACTGGTCTCATCGCATTGCTTGTGAACCCGAGTTCGCAATAAAATGCCGTTAAATCACCCGCAGCTCAGTGTACCTCATTGTTCTGCGGTTATTTCTAAAACGTGATGGAGCCCGATCTCCCCACTTCGGGAATGTTACACGGAGCATAGGATGTGGTTGTGTCAGAATTGCTTATCAGAACCAAGCGTAATGAAAATGGTTTTATTTTAATTGTTTTTCAAGCGATTTCACGAAAGCAACACCACAGAATGATCTAAGCACTAGTCAGGTAGTGATGGGATGCCTGGGGATTCAGTAATTATTTACAGATTATTTGAGGAGGAAGTGAAGTCGGGTTGTTAGCCTTTGTAAAACAAAATGCTCTGTACTCTGCTGAATACTGTCCAGTTCAACTGGAGAATTCCTTCCTTCCTCAGTCTCTCCAGGGCCCTCCTGTAATTCAAAACCCCTCCTCGGCTGCTTCTTTTTACTATCTCTGATTCAATATCCTTGATCTAATTCCACCCATCCTTCCAGATCCTTCAGCCTTTTAGGCCCTATTCCATCTGTGGGGCTTGAATACCTTGCAGCATTTCCACTCTGCTTCTCATCTGTGTTGAGTTGGACAGTCTCAGCAGAGGTAATTGTGGAGATCGTCACAAATGGGTCTTAACGTCCCTGGGGTAGGCACGGGGGAGAAAACATCAGTTGTTTCCAAATACTAGCAAAGATCCTTTTGCATGTGTGGGGGCCCACCCACAGTCTCATGGGGTGCCAGCAAGCTTGCACACAGAGAATGGGCGATACGAGAAGAAACTGGAAAGTTGCCAGCGTCCATGAGACAGTGATCCCTTCAATGTTTGCGGGTTTTCAGGAGAGGCGCGCTCCTGGCCTCTTGGAACTCGTTCCAAGGGAGAGCTGCGAATGAGATGTGTGGCTGAACAGTATAGCTTCAGCCTTACCCTTGGCTACAGGGAGGTTCTCCCCTCCCCTCTCTTACTGCTTTGCGCCTTCCAAATTGACTCTGTGGAAGAATTGACAGATTTGCCGTCGTTCACCCCACCCACTCCAGCAACCACGGTGAGTGAACTCACTGATCGCCGAGGGGTGCAATTTTTTTTTTACACAGAGAGTGGTTTGTGTGTGGAATGAACTTCCAGCGGAAGTGGTGGATGCGGCCAAAGTTATAACATTTAAAAGACATCTGGATAAGTACATGAATAAGAATCGTTTGGAGGGATATGGGCCGAGTGCAGGCAGGTGGGACTAGTTTGGTTTGGGATTATAGTTGGCATGGACTGGTTGGGCTGAAGGGTCTGTTTCCGTGCTGGATGGCTGTGGCTGTATGCTTTGATAAAGCCCAATTGTGACAATGGCTCAGGCCACAGACTTAAGGCAGTAACTCCATCTACCACACACCTAGAGCAGACTGTGCTGAAAATGAACACATGATCTCCACTGCCAACTTGTGCAGCGCGAAATAACAACAACCTGTATTCCGATGGCACATTTAACATTCTAAAACATCCCAAGGCCCGCTAGGGCAGCATTATGAAACAAAATTTGACTTCAAGACTCAAAGGGTGACACAAGGGCAGTTGGCAGAAGGTTAGAAAAGCCAGAGATTTTAAGGCACGTATTCAAGGAAGAAAGCGAGGCAAGAAGGTGGTGAGTTTTGGGAGCAAGGGCCAGATCTTGGGGCCTGGACAACTAAAGGAACAATCACTAGTAGTGGAGCAATTTACATGGGATTGCTCAAGAGGCCAGAATTGGATTATGTAGTTAAATAACTTGGAAGATTCTGTGGATGGAGAAAGTTACAGAGACAGGGAGGGGGGCAAGGCTATGATACGATTGGAAAACAATTAAGAGAATTTTAAAATCAAGTTGTTGCTTAACGATCAGTGCATGTCAGCATACTGAGGTGGCAGGTGCACAGCAATATATACAAAGGAGGGCAGAGGTAGCAGAGATCTGTATCACCTCTGGTAGAATATGGGAGACCAACCCAGAGAGTAATGCAACAGTCGAGTCCAGAGGTAATTAGATTGAGAGCAGTGAATGAGCTGAGGTAGGGGCAGTGTTGTGAAGGTGAAATAGGTGATCTTAATTGTAGCATGGAAAAATGATTGGAAGTTCGTCTCAGGGTCAAGTATCACACCAAGGTTGCCCACAGTCCAGCTCAATCTCAGACATTTGCCATAGAGCGAGATGGGATCAATTTTGTTGTATGTTTGGAGTCTAACTCTGTTTAATGTCTCAAAATAATGCTGCTGGAGTCCTTGGAACTTCCTGAAAAATATCTTAATTTACAGCTGAATCTGTGTACAATAACTTCATCGTAGATTAGAACTTCTGTTTCCTTCTCTCCCTCTCTCTCTCTCTCTCACTCTCTGTCATTTAAACATGTGACTGACATAATTGCCACGTTATGATGTTAATCTCGTTCCCCTGCAGTAGTGAGGGTATGTAGTTTGTAGCTGGGCTCAAAGGCAACGGCTCGTCTGCTTATAATACTGGGTCCAGGGAAATGCCTGCTCTTCCAGTACTGGGTATTGGATAAATAATCGGATAATTCAGCAACAGTGCAGGCATCAGGAGAGGGGGTGGTGAGGTGAGCTGGATGTCGTCGAAGGACATTTATAAACTAACACATCTTGATATTCACGTGTGATGTAGTCACGAAGCAGCACATAGTTGAGAGCTAAGGGCCGAGGAGACTGGAGGTAATGGTGCTAGAAATGGAAGAGAAACCAGTGCGAGGACAGAAAGGTTGCAACATCAGGAGGATCAAGAGTTTTTTTTTGAGAAGAGAAAAGTTGGCAACAGATTTAAAGCAGTGAGAACACCTGAAGGATGAAAACCATCTGCAGCATCTGTCACCATGGGGACCAAAAGAGGATGTTGGGTAATCAACAGAAGCCTGGATGAGGATAGAGTCAAGGGAGTATGAGGTGGGCCTTGTGAACAATGTGGGCTCAGAGAGACCATATGAGGGGAGATGAAAGAGAAACTAGGAAAATAGGCAAAATCAGGGAGCTTTCGCTTAAGTTTGACCTGGTAAGCTTGGGGAAATGAGGGAATGTCGCAAGCAGGCTCACTCAGTTTTAGTGACAAATATTCCTCAAGTGCCATATACCTATTGATGCAGGTGATACAGCTAACAAGATGATGGATTGCAGGCAAATTAAATAAACCCAAATCAGAACAAGAACATGGCAGAATGTCTTGTTCAAAATAAGTTTCCAAGTAAGTTGGTTCTCAGTAAAATTAATCTCGTGAAAGCAAAAGGCAGCAAAGTGGGGTCAGAGAGGCAGGATTCAATTACAAGTTGTAAATGAAGTCTGCTTTTTTAGAGAAAAAGATTATGTTGTGGAAAGAAAATTCTGTGCTGTCCTTGAGCTGGCCTGGACACACCCAGGGTCTGGAGAACAAGCTGCTTTTATTCATAAGCTTGGAGCCTGATCAGCATCAGTCAGCTCCATTCATTCCTCATTCCCCTGAAGTTGTAAAAACTTGTTTCGTTTTTCAACTCTGCAAGCCGCCAAATCAAAGTGCACCAAAGAAAAACTTGGGATTTATAAATGACTTCCACATCCTCAAATGACTCCATGTTTCAGAATCATGAGTGCGACATAAGGGAAGAAAGGTAGCCAGATTGTACAGAGGAGCATCCTCCAAGCAACAGTGAGAATAATCTATGTAAGTCCTGCTGACTGAGGCACAAACATTATCCAGGATAGCCAGAAACCTCCCCTGTTTTTCTGTGAATTGCCCTATAGATCTTTTACATTGGCTTGAAAGGGCAGACACAGCCTCTGAACTATTTATGTAGCATCCTTTGAACAAAAATCTTTAGCTTGGGTTGCAGTTGGAGCTGGTTGATTCGCCGAGCTTTGCAAGCTAACCCACAGCGCCAATGTTGCATCCCAGTATCAGAAACTGGAGTCTACTCAAGGCCCTGGAGTCACGCCATTGATTTGATGTCGCACAGTGCAACTGACGGATAAGACGTGAGGGTCTCAACAACAAAAACAAAGTTGCTGGAAAAGCTCAGCAGGTCTGGCGGCATCTGTGAAGAAAAAAATCAGAGTTAACATTTCGGGTCCAGTGACCCTTCCTCGGAACAGTGAGGATCTCAAGTCTGGAAAGCACAGGTCTGGACAATGCTTGTGTTGTTTGGTAATGAGGAAACAAGTGTGAAGTTTTGAGGAATACTGTTGAAAGGATAGACATCTTGATTGCAGCAAAGATACATTTTTGTGACCTTCTTCTAAAGCAAAGTGTCTGAAATTGCTCCAGATGTTTTTGGAGGTGGTTTTGGTGACTTCCCACATTTACCAGAGGATGTTACCACATCGTCACAGAAGTAGGCGACCCATGAGCTGAAAGGATACAAGAACTACACAGGATATCACGGCTTTGCCTTTGGCTCTGCTGCATAACCAGGAGATGGCATAGAGGTTATACAGAGGGCAAATCCTGCGCCAACTGCTTCGTCAAGCTGGAACCTATTCCCACTTGGTCATTGACAATGCCAGGCCAGCCAATACCGCCAACATCTCAGTGTACTTGCCCATTCGGTGCCTTCTTTTACACTGTCCCATTGCTGTGCTCATCTGAGTCCTCCACAGCAAGACTTAACCTGCCACCTTTCCTTCTGGTGAGCTGGCAAACGGCCATTCTTGGCCACCGGCATAAATGTAGCCAATCAGAGGGTGGTTAATGTGTTAACATTGACATTTGCTTATGTGTGCTGGTGTTCCACACTCCTCATCAACACACTGACCAAACTGGGCAATGTGCACTATGTATTCTCATCAGTTGAGCTATTGAGATCAACCCTGGTCAGGTCATTGTGCGTGCTGTGTGTTTGATGCTGTGAACCAGCAGCCGCTGCAACATGGCTACATCATTCTGGGGGTTGTACCAAGAAGCAGTTGGGTACCACCCTTCACAATTCTGCTTCTGTGCTGTATTCCTTCCTTGAATTTCCAAATGAAATCCCGCAGCAACATCGTTAGCTGTGCAAACCTTTCCAATCTCAGCATGTAAGATTCTGTCATCTTCCTTTCTCTGCCCTGGGAGTGTGAACTAGAGCCCAGGCAATAACGCCCACCCCCACCCCATTCCCCACTCCCCCACCTCATTTGCAAATATTGGGCCTCCTTACAAATATCAGAACCAGTCCCAGTGGACTCCCTATAAATATTGATATATTAGCAGGGATGCCCTACCCTAAACTACATTATGGTGTTGAATATTCAAAGCAAAATAATACTCCTTTTGCAGAAAATGTCTTTTATTAACTTGAGACAGCTGAAATAATACACACTCAAGCATACAGAATTCTGACTGGATTCCCCTTGTGGAACACTGTATCGCTGAGCCAGAATGGAGGGCAGGGATCTGATGTGCACAATGCCTCAACCACCAAACGCCCACACACACAAATGCACACAAGACATTATGATCCTATCAGGTTTATATACCTGACTTTACAATCGTTCATATTGGACAAGGCATCCACTTACCATTCGCCAAGTGACATGGAAGAGTAATGCTTTATCGTTTCTTTGTCAAGCACAGTAGCTGATTCATCGACGGAATCTGCAAATCTAATTTCCTATGATTAAAAATCCATCAACTGGCTGTTGAACAGGAGCTTGTTTACAGAATTTAAGGACCCCCACCTCCTGGCTTTGAAACTTTATCAATACATCTGTGGTGCAGCTTAACGTTGCATTGCCAGAATCTCCACAATCTGTTGATTCAACTCCATAATTAGCCTCCAGAAGGCCAGAGGTTTTCACCATAAGAGGCCTCAAGGGGTGAGACACATGTATTCTATCACTTTAAACCCAATAGAAAGCTTATTGTGCATTAGAAACTGGAGCCCAACAGTTCAATCATTGAATTCCAAGGGAATTTGTTCTTTATTGACTCCTGCGTGTAAATGCAAAGTTAAAAATTGACAGATGAAAGACCTCAGTAAATAAATAGCTGAAGAATAAAAATCGCAATCTCCTGGATTGCATGATATTTTGGAAAGCCCGACTGAAATGAGAGAGTTCATTGTTGTGCCATTTTCTTGTCTGTATCGCCCCAAGTTCCAAAGATTAAATGTCCTTATTTCTTTCAAATGTCAATTTAGCACACGTAAACAATGAAAGATTGTTCAAATTTAACAAATGAGTTGTGTTTTCCAGAATTGTCAAAGTTACAAATAGAACTTCAATGAAAGCTACCTGCCTCTTATTATGGTTGAGGTGAATATTACATATTATTATTAACAGCATTTTTGAAGATAAGTGCTTTGCCCAAAATTGCTCCCTCAACCTGTTCCACAGACAGTACTCTCTTTTGCTATTTTTCGCTGCGTGAAACACCTTGACAAGCTGAACATTCTTCTCTTCTTTCATGGGCGTGTGCATTGTTTACTTGGCCAGGATTTATTGTCCATCTCTAATTGCCACTGAAAACATTCGACCCCTGTTGAACCAGAACAGTGCACATTGTGCAGGTACATCCACAGTGCTGTCACAGAGGAGTTCCAGGATTGTGACCCAGCAGTGAAGAAGGATTGGGCCTAAGTTTCCAAGTCAGGATGGTGTGTGACTTGGAGGGGATCTTTCAGGTAGTGGTGTTTTCAAATACCTTGTATTTCTAGTTGGTGGCAGTATTGGACTTGTGATGTTGCTGTCGAAGAATCATTGGTGTGTTACTGCAGTGCAACTTGTAATATGGCAGATACAATTGTTACTGGGCACCAGTGGTGAAGGAAATGAAAATTTAAAGTCGGCTGTCAGTCCAGAGATCTGCTTTGTCCTGGATGATGTCAAGCTTTTTCAGTGTCTTTGGAGCTGCATTAATGCAGGAATTTTGGAAGCATTCCATTTGACTTATTTTGCTCCTATGCTGGGAGGAGTGTGCAGTAATCAGCTCTACAACTCCACCAGTCATACCTTTCGTGCAAATGTGTTCCTTTAGTCACCAAAATGGCCAATTGATTCTATTACTATCAAGAAGAGACATTTTCACCAGCCTTCTTTAATCAACTGAAAATAAGCTGTTTATTATAGTGTAGATGGTATTCTTAAAACAAATGGCAAACACTGTTAATATCTAAGCTATAATCCAGACTTTTACCTCTATATCTCCTTAATCATAAACACAAACGAACACACACACACACATCACCAAATGACAAGAGTCTGTGCAGAGATGATTTTTATATATCAACAAGGGCAATTGGGAAAAACATGCACTGTCAGCCAAGGCTTCAAAATCCAGGTGTAGAGTATGAATGCAGGTAACTGAAACTTTGCTCAAAGATGTTCCCTTTACGAAGCATTTAAAGGAAAAGGGATGGATAGGCTTTGGAGGAAATTCCAGAACCTAGGCTGGAAAATGCTGAAAAATGTCCTTAATAATGGGGTAATAAAATGAGGAGGCAAAAAAGACCAGAATGTGAGAGATGTCAACGTCGCAGTGGAGAAGGTGAGAGTCGGTAGCCAGGGAATGGAGCTTTTTGAGGATATCAAAGACAATGGCTTGTACTTTCAGTTTCCCAATGCATCCAATACTGGGTGCTAGACATGCTGCACAACAAAACGAAGGCAGCAATGGTGAGTTAGTCGGGAATGTTGTCAATGTACAGGTGGAAAATGATATTATGTTTTTGGTTCATCGTTGATGGCATCTCAGAGTCTCCAACTGTGACATTGCTGGAATGGTGAAAGCAGTCATTCCAGGTGATTCTTTGGGAACTGCAGTGGACCTCAGCCAGGTGGACCTCATTGAATATGAGTTCCATGATTGGGGCAGTTAAATCTGGTCCAATCAGGAAGCCCTGGCTGACAGTTATAAACACTATGCACATGTAAATACAGGGTGACCTGGTGAGGGATTCCGGCCACTGTGGACTTATTTCAAGTTTGACTGCACAGACAGGCCTGGAACCATGCGCAGGATGCTTCATCCATCTGTATAATCGAATAGAGCCATTGGAAGTGGAGGGTACAGATCCGTGACAAAGATTGCTGACAGGTTAAGAATAATGAGAAGGGATAATCTTCCAGTCACAATGAATATCACTTGATAAAGGCATTTGAATGCTGTGACAGGGACAGAGACCTGAAATTCAATGTTTCAAAGTGGACTAAGGGAAAAGGTAGATATGGAGGTGGGAACATGTTCAAACAAAGAGCAGTTTGCACAGGAAAGGGAAATTGTAGATGATGTGGTAGTTTGCAAAGGCAGAGGGGTTAAAGATAAGTTTTCTTGAGTAGAACGTGATGACCGCTTTAAATCAAGGTAGCCAGCACGAAGGAGAGGGGTCTGCTTGCAATATCAGCGCACATGGGGGTCAGACAGATAAGTTAAATGGTCAGCAGTTGGTGGGAACTGGGTCAAGGGAACAGAGATGGGTCCGATGTACAAGAGGAATCGGAAAAAGGTTTGAAAAGGCAGAATTAGAGATGAAATTAGAGGAGAACGCTCACCAAGCACATCACAAAACAGACAGTGGGTGGGCACAGCCAACAAACAACCCATGAGATTGTCAACAAATAGCAACAGATGATAGGTACCATTTAAATCTGTGAATAAGCACAAACACAGACTGTCAGGTAACTCAGAAACATCACATGCTGTATGAAGTTTTATTTTGTGTTTTTAGGTGCTTTATAGAAGAGCTGGCACAGTAAACAGCACGCTGTTACAGACAGTCGGAAACAACATAAATATACCGATTCACGATGAGGGAGACTACATTGTGGAAGTACGGGCCTATGGGGAAGGAGGAGATGGAGCAGTGAATTCAGTCAAAATTTCTAAAAGTAAGTTGATGGTTGTTCCTTTCTGTAGAGGTTGAGTGTACAGAGAGCTAACTGGTTATTATGGGCTCAGTGAGACCCTGGGAAGTGGCTGATTGATGGAGGGATGAGGCCCTCATTCCCAAGCACAGGAAGGGCAATTTTCTGTTCATTCAAAGTAAATCATTTGAGAAATGAAAACTGTAGTTTCTTCATCAGAACCTCTGAAAAGACAATGGTTTTCGCAACGTTTATTTTACTGGGTGTTCATGCAAATGTTGCTTACTCTTTACAGGTAACATCGCTTCCAGACATTTAACAATAGCTATCCTCCAGTTTCAGTCAATTTTGCCTCGTTCTGCTTTCTTGACTTAGCCTTGATATAGTGCTCCGTGCTTATCCCTTCGCTCTCATTTCTGATAGAACATATTTCCAGTAAGTTGGCTAAAGAGTCCCAGCTTCTTAATTCTTATGATGCAGTCCACTTCTCTGAAACTGGAGATTCACTTTATGGTTCTTATTTACAGTATCTTCATAGATTACGCCTTAGTTTGTCCTGTCATACACTATTGGAATTAAATAGATTTTTAAAGAGCATATCCACAAATAATCCCTGTGGATCGGGCCCTCATTCCATGTCTGAGCTTTCTCCGTGGTCTGTGTCTAATCAACATTCCTATAGAATGTGTTGGCCTCTTCTCTACCTGGTAAAACTCAACTCCTTTTCAAAAACAAGATGTCAGCTCAGTTATTTTGCTCAGTGGATTTCCTGCAAAGCTCACCAGTGGTTGGCAAAAATTGACGTCAACTTGCTATGTCTGCGGCAAGCCATTTTACAGCCAAAATCCCAGACTGCTCGAACAGAGGAGCCCAATCCAATAGAAAATGTTCCCTTCCAATTACACGCTGTACAAACCCCAGAGTTCATACTCTGCTTGTCCTTGAGTTTGTTTTTATTGTACCTGTTGAACGTGCTAAAACTGTGTGAAAAATGCCAGGGCTATTTTGTTTTTCCAGAGATGTGTCAAAATTTCACTTTAGTTTTGAGACTGTGAGATAAATGCTTTCTTTGCCTCCCTTTACACGACTGTCTGAGCCTTTCAGAAGCTATTTTTTGTGGCTTTTTTGTAAAACTGTGCAATAGTATTTTCTTAGGATCTGCAAGAAAGTCTAATTATTTCCAGCTGCTGTGTAATATCCATCATTCCAGTAGGTATGCCATCAGTCTGCACTATTCGCTTACTTATATTCCACATCAACTTTGGATCACTTGAGCTACAGCTATAGGCAAGTGTTCAAGTTTTCTTTGAACTGCTGCATCTTAACACATCGAATGGAGAATCAAGATTCAAAACCACACCACACGCTGTAAACTGTGAGCAGGTCTGAAGTTTTTTCTTGATTCATTCACGGGATGAGGGCATCGCTGGCTAGGCAGCATTGATTGCCCATCCCTAATTGCCCAGAGGGCAGTTAAGATTCAACAACATTGCTGTGGGTCTGGAGTCACATGTAGGCCAGACCAGATAAGGATGGCAGTTTCCTTCCCTAAAAGGCAAAATTTGGGTTTTTCCCAACAATCGACAACAGATTCACAGTCATCGTTAGATTCTTAATTCCAGATGTTTATTGAATTCAAATTCCACCATCTGCCATGGAATGGAATTAATGGAATTCTTGCAGGAACTTTTAAAACGTACACTCTTGAGACAATTTTCAACAGCAAAGGTGTGTACTGTGTAACAGAGACTAAATTTTTGGAGGAGTGCTCACACATGCTGCATTGTGAGCTAATCCAATCAGTGACTCATGCAATTACCGAAACGTCAGCCTTCCTGCTCCTCTGATGCTGCCTGGCCTGCTGTGTTCATTCACCTTGTTATCTGAGTGACTCATGCAAAGCTGTTTTGGCTGATCCAGGAGCAGGCAGCAAATGGGTGCCAACGTGGTCCCCAGCAATTTTGGATTTACCAGGAATCTTGCAAGAATTTGATTTGATTTGATTTTGATTTAATTGTCACGTGTACCGAAATACAGTGAAAAGCTTTGTTTACGAGCGGTATAGGCAGATCACAGCAAGCAAAGGACGTGCAGATGAACAAGACTTAGAGGCATACAGGTTACATTGCAGGTGATATTATTTGAGGCTAGAGCCCAGTCAACAGTCTGATAGTAGCCAGAAAGAACCTGTTCCTGAACCTGCTTCTGTGCATGCTCAGGTTTCTGTATCTTCTGCCTGATGGAACAGGTCATAGGAGAGCATTACCACGGTGTGATGGGTCTTTGATGATATTGGCGGCCTTTCCATGGCAGCAAGCCTCGTAAATGGAATCCGTGGATGGAGGTTGACTTCTGTGATGGTCTGGGCTGTGCACACTACCTTCTGTAGTTTCTTACGGTCCTCGGCAGAGCAGTTGCCGTACCAGGCTGTTATGCACCCAGACAGTATGCTCTCAATGGTGCATCTGTAGAGGTTGGTGAGGGTCCTTACGGACATGCCAAATTTCCTGAGCTGCCTGAGGAATAAGAGACATTGTTGTTACTTCTTGACTGTCGCATTTACATAGGGAGCCCAGGACAGGTTGTTGGTTATCGTCACTCTGAGGAATTTGATGTTCTTCACCCTCTCAACCTCAGTTCTGTTGACGTAAGTGGGGGCGTGTTCTCCTCCTTTCTTTCTGAAGTCGATGATCAGTTCTTTAGTTTTGCTGACGTTGACAGACAGATTGTTTTCACTGCACCATATCACCAAGCCCTCTATCTCCCTTCTGTATTTTATTTCATCATTGTTAGGTATCTGTCCCAGTATGTTCTCAGCGAACTTGTATATGGCGTTCGTTTGGAATTTGGCAACACAGTCGTAGGTGTACAGGGAGTACAGTAGGGGGCTGAGGACACATCCTTGGGGGGCCCAGTGTTGAGTGTTATTGTGGACAAGGTGCAGTTACCTATCCTCACTGATTGCAGCCTGTGGGTCAGAAAGCTGAGGACCCAGTTGCAGAGGGCGAAGCTCAGACCAAGGACATGCAGTTTTGAGATTAGTCTGGAGGGGATATTGGTGTTGAAGGCAGAGCCGTAGTCAATGAGCAGGAGTCTGACGTACGTGTCTTCATTGTCCAGATGGTCCAGGGATGAGTGCAGGGCTAGGGATATGGCATCCTTCGTGGACCTGTTATATTGGTAGGCAAACAGTAAGGGATCGAGGCAAGTTGGGGGGCTTTCTGATTAGCTGGCACACCTCTGGAAGTATGTGTGTGGATGGTTTTTAAGAGAGCGTCGGGCCCTACTGCAGCCTGTAGTTTGACAAGCACCCAAAAATCATGGCAAGAGCTGAATAGCCATTGTTTGACTGGGCTACCAAGATGTAATTGCATCCTGTGGAAAATCCACCGCAGTGAACAACCTGTGGAAAAAAGCAAGGAGCAAATTGGAGCAGGGTGGACATATCCCTACACCCTGTGGCTGGGATTTTCCTGGTTTTTGGACTTAGATTCAGCTTCTGGAAATGCTCCTATCAGCTGACTGAGGTGAGAAAGCCTGTTGGCTCTTCCAGGAATTAAAGAGCCGATTGGCATCCAGTGGTTAGATCCTGGAATTGGAGGTCCCACCTGAAGATCTGATCGATCAGAGGACAGCAGGACAACGAGGACGTGGGTGCTGCCAAGACACCATCTCCCCAGGAAAGGTAGGTGTTGTTTGAGGGGTGGGTGGGGGGTCAGTGAGTAGAGCTCTGGAGTTATTGATCACAGGGTGTGGTAGGGGGCTGGCTAGGCAAAGGGTGCGGAAGCAAGGGTGGGAGGGAGTTTGAAAGTGAGGACAGTGAGTTTGGGGTGTCTCTGAAGAGTCATCCATCTGCCCTAGGTCCAGTACCTCATTTTGCACCTATTATTACAGATCAAGGGAGCTTCAGAATCTTTGGCAAATACTGTCAATGTGCTTTCACCTGGTTTGTTCATTCATGTGCTGTATATCACACTTCTGCCTTAATGATTTGACAGAAAACAATTTGAATAATTTATTCACCATTTAGTGGTGGCCCTGACAATACGTAATGTACAAAATAATGCAAAATCCCTATTGTGACAAAAAAAAAGCACTCTGTTACAAATTACCATGCTTAAACATTATTGGAGATCCACTGGCACAGTGTCACGCACAAGCCTCAAGAACAAAGACTGTGAGCTGTCACAAGGTGCCTCACAGATATTCGTATCCTGTGAATGGGAGAGAATGATACAGCTGACAGCACCTGCTTGAGAAGCTGCTGGATATTATCATGAAGAGTTTGTGGAGATAGTGTTCAGAGTTCAAGAGTATCTTCTTATCATAATCCACGTCTCAACTCATTTTGAAAGCTTATTGCATTCATTTGTCTAAATTTTGCTCAGAGACACTTTCCTCATTTGTGGAGCTTGGTATTCCCTTCCACGTTTTGCTATTTTAATCATCAGTGTCAAGTTTCAAATGGGCATAGTCCAGCTTTAAGGGCTTTGAAGGAAAACCCAAGGCATTAGCACTGGTGTTTCGCACTTTTTAACTGTCTCTTGTTGAATATGACCTCACCTCAGTTTAATCAGGTGGTGATTCTATGGTAAGAAAATTCTGCTGTTGTATCGAAACAAGCCAACAATGTACAGAATAGTTGGATCTGACACCGATAGCTCCTTAATCTGAGTGGAAAATTGTTGGCCAGTATTTCTATACCAGTCCCTGGTACTATGTTTTATAGCATGAACTGTAGCTGACAGCAGATGAACCACATGTGCAGTCAGCTGCATAGCTATAGTGTAAAAGTGTCTTGAGTATTCAGGAGCCAAGACGTGGGTGACAACATTATCCTGGTTGTTATGTACTATGCAAGTCAGGTAGTGGTTCACTGCCTTCCACAGGTATCAGCCTTTACTCAGTTGGTCGCTCTTCTGCCTCTGAGTCAGGAGGTCACACATTGAAATCCAACACTAGACAGTAGCAAATCCATATCATTCCCAATGCAGCACTGAGGAAGTCAAAAACTGGCAGAGTTT